AAAATTTACATATCTAAGATAATTGTTTCAGATATAACGGTAAATTTCTCACAGGAATGTTATTATTAGACAATATCATTTAAAAAGTTAAAATTATTGTCAAATTTACAAAAAATGTATAATTATACCGGGTTAAGGGATAAAGGTCTGGGAAGATTGCTATATTAGACCATATTACTTCAATGTATAATTCACAAAACAAAGATTAATGCAGGGATTTAGTGATAAAGATCTAAAGATTTATAATTCCATGATTGCGCAGGATAATGTCAAAGTGTCATGGCGTCGAAGTCAGCACTTATAGTTCACATGATATATATTAATGATTGGTTTGGTGGAATGATTGACATGATCGTTGGGGTTAAAGTTGTTTTATAGATACCACAATGGTGGGTGGACACGCATTCAATAATTAATATAATAATCCTTATTTCGTTCCGTATTTTAAAAGTTTAAATGGTAACAAAATTTTAAAAACACCTAAAGAACAGACAATTTTAACCGAATTTAAATTTGTGTTTATTCTTGTTCAGAACAAATTTTAACTTGTAAAACAACCACGCATATTCTTGAAATCAGAAATGTCCGTTTCCAAACTCATCAAATATTCAGCCACCCACATCATGCAATTTAATCAATACGGAGTGTGCCAACCGTTCTACACGAGAACATCTAATATCACTTGTTACTCGGATAATGATTGGTTGAAGTTGTCTTGGGTTGATTGGTTTGATAGGGATGGGCGTGGTGGGAAGCACGAGTAGATCACCCATGAGAAGACCCACGAGGTTATGCAGACGATCCAATTCTTGGGCATGTAGGCCTACAAGCCTGGGATCGAACCCATGACCTACATAGATAACAGGTCTAGCCCCCCCCTCCTCACACTAGCCACCCTCCACCACCTGTACCCTATAATTATTTGGTAGATCAAATGGGGTTAAAGGCGTACCCATCCCTTCGATCCTCTCCTGCGGGCAAAGGGTAATTCCTGTGATTCGGCTGTGAATAATGATGGAAAATCGAGACTTACGATTCGATAAAAGTCAAAGTAGAATTTATTCAGTACGCAAACTTCCCAAATTGGCGATGGACTGCCACAGACATTCCAAATATACTCAAAGTACCTAGAGTCGCCGATCAATCTGACCTGATCAATCGTCCTGACCTTTCAAAGTGATCACTTGTCTCTGTGGTCAATAATCCATCGTTTGGTAATGATGTAATCAGTACACAGTCGACTGTCAATATCAAACTAACCCGGTCTTGCTGGGTTTTCAACCAGGTTCCAGACGCGACAAACTTTGATCAGTCAACCCCACGTTGACATCATAATGTAAAGTTAATAAGGATGCATGTTTATAAATAGTACATTCAAACGATGATATCAGTGGCTTCTCCGTCATTTCATCAAACCACTAGCGTAGGAAGCTATTTCTAATTAATCCATGAAGTTCCGGCCATGTCTGATTTACAATCCCATATCTTTTCCGTCTTCATTAGTCCGTTTGGTATTGAAAAGAAGAACGTTAAACTCCATTTCATTTTATTTCGCACACGTTTTCTCGGGGGAGCCACGGTGACTCAGTGAGTAAGTTGTTGGCGCGTCAACCTGGAGGTCCCCGTGTTCGATCTCTGCAGAGAAAGTTCATCGGGATTTTCTAGCGTGGTTCCCCCTTGTAAGTGGTGCAGGACAGAGGACCTGGCAAGGGACTGTGTAAAGTCATTCGGATGGGACAAAAAAATGAAATCCTGTGTACACAAAGGCGTGCACGTTAAAGATGCTTTGGCCGTTGAAATTTGATATAAGAGTAGACCATAGAGCTGCTGTCCGTGCAATATTTCCCTTATAGCACACTGTAGTGCGTAGCTTGTCTTTATTAGCCCAATCAGAGCTAAACAGTAGGACGTTAAACCCCATTTCATTTATCTGAAATGGGTTTTTTTCTGCTCCAACCGGGTTATAATGAAGACTAGCTTACGCACTACAATGTGTTATGAGGGAAGGGAACTTTTGCAACGTCATACTCTTATTTTAGAATTCTAACTGTATAGCGCTCCTTTCGGAGCACGTCATTATTTACGCGGGACCTCGTTTTTCGTCCTGTCCGAACGACTAGAAACTGATCCTTGCCATGCCTTTATCTTAAACCTAAATTCCAGAACCATACGACTTCTTCTTTGAGTGGCATTTAGTAATTGAACAGTAACACACTAACAACTATTTGTGGAATAACAAGTACTGGTGTATTAATGTGTGTTCTAGAAATGGCAGACATGTCTTGCCTCGCACACGACACCGTCGAAATATTAATAGCTAAACAGCGTGATAACCTGGATTGTAGAAGAACTGCTCCTGTCTTCGCTTAGTACGTCTAATGTAAAGGAAATGATGCATACACACCTCCACCCTTCGGATTTTAAGTTCCACCAAATAGCCTATCCGTTCCCCTTTCAAACTCAACCCTTAAACATGCATTATGCAAGAGCTAAATCTGATTATTGCAAGTCTTAATTTAGGCTTCAGATGTTATAGAAATTATAAATTAGATCTTTATTTAAACAACAAGACCAAAATCAACTCTGTAGACCCACGGATGGCTCGGCTACAGCTCGGATTTAAATAGGATTTCACTAATTGATTAAATCAGATAAGGGGTAACCTGATGAAAATACGTCAGTTAGATCGAGGCTAAATGATAGAGTGTACTTAGCGAGGCCGCTGTAAAGCGTTTCCGTATGCCATTGAAAACTTTACTTGATAATCGAGATATGTAGGTGGAGTTAACGCCTGTCAATCAAACGATCGGCGAAGGTGAAGACACATTTCGCTACCATTTCTAGGCAAATATTACAACGATGATAACTATGTTCAGAATAAAGTAATTTGACTGAATTTTTCAATATATTCTTCTTTCATCATCTACTTTTGAACTGTTATAGCAAGAATGGCCAACTCTCTATAAAAATCTCCCATAATGTATCTTTAATTTAAGAACGCGACGGTAACGTCCTCGGTAATACTGGATCTGTCAATACGACATTAGTGTGTGGAGGTGTCTTGGGGGTCATATGGGGAAAACAGTGGGACGTGGATCCAGATGGATACTGTACGATGCCAACACTGGACACAAATTATCTTTCCAAAAAAAACCCATGTAAATTACTGTCTTTTATAATATTGTGTACATTAGAAAGCTAAACATTCGTGATAAATCCTGCTAATAAAATCCATAAACTGACCTTATACAGTATTATGTATCTCGGGTCTATATGATATTCACATGATTTTATATTACCTATATCGGGGTCCTATCCCGGCTTCCCATAATGGCCCATTATCCCCGCACACATAGTTCCCACGAGGCACCCTTCAGTCAATATTATCACGGCTATCATCATTTTCGGACATTTTTTGTAAATTATAATAACTTTTACCCTATTTACAGACTAAATCTTCTGCTCCATATCCTCCCTCTTTATCTTCCCGAGAAAGCAATATCTATTTTCTGCCCTCTCCGGAAAGTGCACAAAAAAATGTTTCACAGCTTTTCAAGAGACAAAAAATCTTGAAGCCATGACAAATTTTACACAAAACATTTACTACAAGTGCATGTTGCTTTTATCTTTTTTTAAGTATGCGCATGAATCTGCCATCATTAAATCTAGAAAATAAGCTTCATTATTTGCTACGAAGTAACTCACTGACATTACTGACCGAAGAAATCAAACCTTGAAGATGTCACCAAGTTCTTCGCTAGAAAGATCAAGTAGCTTGCGCTTACTATCTGGTTGGTATTTAAGAACCAACCAACAAGCTTCTACGACTCTTTTCTAGTTTAAAATTACAAGAGCACGCTTGACCTGACTGATGACATAAAACACCCCGCAGATCATATAAATTTACCCAATTAACTCCAAGCGACACATTATCTGATGAATGCCGGCCGCTGACACGTTACGATAATCACAGTTCCTACCCAAACCATTACTCGTGGCAGGAGTAGAGTTTGTATAATACAAACTTTTTTACATACACAAATTGAATTACGTAATGCAGAAAATGAAAGTAAATACGCTAAAATTTGTTAGAAGTGTTGATCTATTATGTCGACGAGGGAAATTAATGGAGGCTAAACTCCCAATTAACTTTTTATGCAATTGCTAATTGCATCAAAACAATAAAATATCAGTGGCATTTCAATTTGATATCTAATCAAAATTATCTGTTTGGAATATAAGATATCGTTTAGGTTTGTTTTACCAATTTCTTAATTTGGTTGAATATTCTGAATTAAATTTAATGTTTGACAATACATTTAAGGAAAAATACTAACCACGCTCAAATCAAATTATAATCTCTCCAAATTTACCCGTTATTAGATGAAAATGAATTACAAATCGAGAAAGCCGAACCTTTGGGAGTTTACAAAACTTCGGAACTACTTAACTATATGTATAGGCCTTCAATGGTTAATTTATAACTTTCAGGGCAGGTTATTGACTTATGCATTGCATGTAAGAAGAGTACGTGTTCAAGGGAATCCTTCATTTGGAAGTTTAGAAAAGTTTCGGAAATGCTTAGCCTCTGACCGACATGGTTAATATTTGGTACTAAGACTTTAGAGAAATGAATTGCAATAAGACGAATTCGAGAAATTCTTAGTTTTGGAGTTTGTAAAGCCTTTTAAGATACTTAACGATCACGAATCTGTTATATGTTTGTGCTTATTTAGCCTTGCAGGGAAACACATCTAGTCGTTCGGGTAGGACGTTAAACCGAGGTCCTTCGTTATACTAGTCTGCGTGCACGTAAAATAACCCTTGGCAGTGGGTAGAAACTACGCTGTATCGCGTATGTTCATCTTATTTTCAGAAAAGTAGTAGCATGCTAAATCTATTTTATTTATTATTTGTTAACGAAAATTATCTTCACAACATTCTAAACAACAAATTCCCATAGAAGGTTACAATCTCCTTGATATAAACAATGACATTACCTTATTTAGCAGATATTCTTCTCGAATAATATCCCACACTTTCTCAGAATTGCCAGGAACCACATGTTGAGATAATAGAAACAAAACCACCAAGTTTCCTAACACAGAAATTAGCACACGACACATGGCTTGTGTTGAGGAACAAGGACGTCTCCAGGGTTCAGCAAACAATTCAAGAGATTAGTTACAGAATATTCATTGTTCTCTTGTAAAATTCCAAGACTATCAGGTAAGTCTGTCTTTAATCAAATAAAGTTATCGGAATTAGAGTTAGAATAAAATATTATTAAAAACGGTAAATATCCACTATTTCAATGCCATGTAAAATATATTATAATATTCCATATCTTTCTGGCAATCGTGACGCTAAAATCTGTAAAAAGTTACGCGTTATTCCAGGAACAATTGTATCGCTTTGGTGCCGACTTAAGTCACTAGTACAGAAACTTCGTAAATTGGGCGAGTCCATTTCAAATACAGTTAACAGAGAGACACTCCTGTTGGCCGTGCTTCGATTTTTCTCTTGATGGCCAGATTAGTATTGTGTTGACAAAAGAAGAATTGTCTCATCGAAGAATTCCTGAAACGGTATCTTTTGCTGAACTTCTAGTAATGTTTGACTATTTACACTAAGTATATACTTGTTGGTGCCATTCTGTCACTGAGACGACTTGTTGTAAATCTTGAATTGCCGAACTGTGTAGTCTGTGATTGTAGGCTAGTGTAGTGTGTAGTTGAAACAAACGAGAGCTTTATAAGAAAACTTGCAGTCTAAGACTTACATGAACGCATTATGAAGAATAATTGCACACTATAGAGACATACACCAAGTGAATGTATGTATATATGGGATGGAATGGGGTTTAACGTCTTGTCAACATCTTGCCTAGCTAGGTCTTTATATTTCAATGACCACGAGTACAATACGACTTGTGGCATTATATAGGTATTGTTAAAACTTTATAATTAGTTGATCTGTTATGTTTTTCGAATAGTGAAGGGACAAGTTTTATACGATTAATATTTTGTTTCGATAGATAAAGCGGAAGTTGTTTAGTTTAAGTTGGGCTTAATGTATATCGATATCAGAATTGAGACATTCAGTTATATCTCAATCCTGACTATCTATAGACGTAAAATGTTTCTTTGAAATCAACACCGATGAAATAAAATTCAAAGAGCCCTTGTCATTTCTTGGCTAGTTCACCAATGAATGCAGAATAATAATATTTGTTGAAAATCAAATCGTACAAAGATTGGACGTCACAAAGAAATTTGTGCAATATATGTACATAACGATATATTTAAAGGAGTTAAATCGCAGATATTTGGGACCTAGAAATTGACAAAAATGGATCGCAACGCATATTATAATGTAATATGAATGTATATAAGTTGATTTATATTCAATCAATCGTTTCCGTTTTTACTCTAATTTCAATTCAGTTATTTTCGGCGAAATACGCGAGAAGTCCCAATCGAATGACAATCTCTAGCCTCTGGTTATTCCAGTCTATACCGGTAGTATTTATTGCGCATGCTCTCCATATAAGAATATGACGTCAGCCCAGGTGGAATATATCTAACCTCGTTCTTCGAGTTCCTTATTGGAAATGGTGCTGAAACGCATTCTGGTACACGATTTGTGTACCAATGGTAAAATGTTTAACAAGTCTTGTGATTTGATCGAACTTTCATTTATTATTGACAATGTATTTGTGTCGTATGCGTTACGTATATTGTCCGCGGGCGTATCTTCAGGGTTTCTAATTGAATATTATGTGTGGTGCAGTTCGTCTGAAACATTTAATGAACAGTTATCAGGGGCGGATCCAGGAATTTTTGCAGGGGGGGGGGGTCATGTTCCTAAGACAATGTATCTCACGCCCCCCCCCCTTCCGCATGGTCTCTATCGTCATTTTGGCGTATATACTTACACATTGAGCTTTTTTAAACAGAGAAATTCAACAACACCTCGTTTGACGTCAATTTTTATTATGAATTAATACAATGACATTGGGATTCAATTTCATGGATATCACATAATGTCTATATCATTATCTCGTGCTTTGAGTGCCCAAACTGTCCCAAATCTTACGATAAAGGATAAAGCACACGGGCGATTTACAAAAAAAATTATGTAGCTGAGCAGGGGGGGGGGGGGGGAGATCCGCCCCTGGTTATAAAGTGACCAATTAAAAAAAAACAGGTGCCTTATTCACGAATACTTTAACTGAAATATTTTAAGTAAACAGCCGTTTTATTGGCTAAAATGGGCACTAGATTCCACCCTCGACCAATGAAAGACCGCACGGGGTCATGCATATGGACCCAGACTGTCCACTCGCTGTTAAACATCAATGATAAATTATAGCTATACCTATTTAATTAACTACTATCATTCGTATGGAAAATAAACTCATTTTACAGTCGATAGCACAAACCACTTTTATACAGTTCTTACAGGAATATTAGGCCCACATCTTACGTCCTCTAGAGTTCCATTATCTTACACACTGTATGGTGGAAGTCCGTCTTCATTAGCCCAGTCGGTGCAGAACAGTAGGGCATTAAATCCCATTTCATTGACATGTTCTTGCTTTTATAGTTATTTTATTATTTTATTATTTACAATGTCCGTGTGTTATGTGTTTTGTGTGTCTTGTCCGCGGGTTTATCTTGTCTGTGTTTATGTTTGTTAATGTATAGGGGGGTTGGATGGCCGAATGGTTAGCACGTGCGCGCTGTATCATAAGGCCTATCTTTGAGTCAACTGGCGTGGTAACGAATCTCCTGTTGTACGTTTCGTGGGTTTTCTCCGGGTCCTCCGGTTTCCTCCCATTGCTATAGACCCCTACGCGGAAGCGAATTATTGAAAAAAAATTAAACCATATGTTTGTCCCGAAATGACCTAGTTTGTGTCGAGTGTACGTTAAACTCTCTCTCTCTCTCTCTCTCTCTCTCTCTCTCTCTCTCTTAATGTATATCACAGATATCTACACTTACTATTAAAGTTGCAATTTCATATTTTTAAGTTTTATTTTTAAAATTTATTAAAATAAAGCCTTTAAATAGATGGTATCTATAAACAGTCCTACCTTGTTAAAGAATAATCCTATTAATCCTATAATTCACTATTGCCAGTTGAGAAATTGGCAAAAATATCATTTTCAACTTCAAATTCAAACATTTGAAGATAGCTATTCCATGGGTGGGGGGGGGTAGAAAAACAAGGGATGTAATTGTGTTATTATTTCCGGGGTCAAAGGATTTTTAAGAGGGAGAATAATACCTATGACCGTATAATAGTGAGTTGACAACCTATTGAGCAAAAGACATAGAAATAATTATGTTTTGACTTTCTTAGAAAATATGAAATTATCGCTTTAAAGCAAATTTTAAATCATGTAAAGAAGAATTCAAAACTCTAAAGTGTACATATACTATACAAATTGGTTGGTTAAAACATTCTTTCCCGAGCTAATGCGAATTTTCATTGGCTAGATTAAAGGTCATCTAGAACATGTCGGTTTTACACGTTCAGACTGAAATGTTAGAGTACATTGTCGTCACCTCTGTCCATTCGTCCGTAGAGGCTACATTTATCATTGACTGAAATTTATACACAATGTTTAAGTTCATAGGGCGAAGACATACTCCTCGCCGTGTTTCGTTTGATTAGACCTAATCCCACTCAAACACTGTTATACTCAGCGCAAATTTCTGTCCCAAAATATGACTGGTTAACAGCCAGTACAAGGACGTAACAAAATCAATCGGGATTAATCAGAGCGCTAAATATGATACCGTAAAGTGTCTGGTGACAAACGCGGCAACATTAAGTCAGAACGTGCGCCCAATATTACATAGTGCATAACATAATATTGCAGAGTAACTAATTGTGTGATAAACGAGGCTATCCAAAATAGCTACAATGTAAACATTTGGTAATCATAGCGCACGTGGAATTGTTTTTTCTTCATTTCTTGGACCACACAGCAGATCAAAAAGAAGGGTCAACAAACTGGATAGAAATACGACGTGTGTTTTTAATGAAATAAATAATTCATGGATTTTCTTCACAAAAATGGATAGATATTATCGCATATTTAAAGGTAGGCAGTAATAATTGGTACACGTTTATAGAATTTATATCGGTGATTTGGGTCAAAGAATTTTCGTTCCAATAGCGAGTTTCAGCCAAATGTACCTTTGCGAGTATCGATGTTTGTTCCCGGTGCATCCAAGGGTAATTTTTTTCTTGAAATCAGCACTAACAAACACGAGGAGGGTTTTTTTTTAAAAAAAAGAGGTCACCCCGGTTAAGTCATGAAAATTCTCTATATTTTATTCAGGAGAAATTTGATGAGGGTGGACACGCTCCGTCAAAGACTCATGTTTTCATTCTCAATACAGCAATGGCTAGAGAGGGATTTCTCGGGCCATTTCTTGAGGAATATGGAAAAAGACGGCTATCGGTTCACCCGAACCTATCGCTCGAAAACTAAATGATAGCGGTTGTTTAAACTGCTATAAGTTGTTACCGATATCCTGTTAATTACTCTCCGAGTTATTGCCCCTGGTTCCTTGAAAAACCCTGCAAACTAACCTTCTAAAGGCTTCGGCTAACGATTGATTTGAAAATGAAATGTATACACATTGTTTATGACTATGAGAAGAAACGTGATCATGTCGACATGGATATATGATAATAATATAGGCCCACAGGAAATTATTGCTAGAAAATCTCAATCTTCTTGTTTCTCGTTCCGGAAATCTATATTAATATGTTCTTTACGTTCGTGACTCCACGTCGTCTGCTACAAAAAGCAACATTTAGTTTATCTACACACTTTCTAAATATGGTTATTATAGTCTATTTTATAAAGTTCCATAAATATTGTTATTATAGTCTATTTCATAAAGTTCTATATTTAATATGGTTATTATGTGATTGAAAATGTTTTATAAGTATGGTTGTTGGAGTCATGTTTGATAAATACTAGAATTAGGAATATTATAATGCCAAATCATATAATAATGCCAAATAATCATAATATCACGCTTTGGGTCTTGGCTTCAATTTTCATAATGCGCACAAATGACAGATTAAGACAATTTTATGTGGAACTAAGAGTTAAAATACTGTGCACACGCTTTGCCACGTTTGTTTTTGTTAATTGCTACTTGATGTGGCCTGCAGAGATTAATATGCCCCGATACTCCCCCCCCATCCGCCCATCCGCCTGTGATCAGACTGTTCACGTATGTCACGCAAATAAAAATATGTATACCATTTTTAATGGAGAGAATGATGTTACTATGTACATTCGAGTTTTAAAAATAGGCAGCTGGTACGAAGAAAGGTAAAGAATTATTATTACTTTGTTTATTTAAGACACACAAAGGTCGCGGTGCCTTCAATAGAATCCAATGTAAACATTAAAAAGCCTTAAACATATACTACACAAGAGCTAAATCTGCCTATTGCAGGTCTTTCTTTAGGTCTGAAATATTATCTAAATTATTATTTAGACATTAATTAACTTATCCAGACCTAACTACGAGAACGTAACTAAAACGTTGAGATATACTGATGTGACTGTTTTTAGCTACGATTGGGTGCATTTAGTTTCACCTGGCAAACTTAATTTCTTTATTAATGCATGTACCATCTTAAAAATAAGTTAATTTTATACTATTCGTA